CTACCACCAGACCTTCTATCTCCCGCATCACAGAGCTTGATCACGAAGCCACGTGCCTCGTGAAACTGGCGCTACTTTACCAGCGCATGTGCGCGCGCACAGTCCGACCGCCATTATGCCGTTGAAGTAATTCTCAACCAATTGGATTTAAGAACCGCTGCGCATCCTCACTGGGTCTGTTGTTACTATTTAATCTCCCACTCCCCAATTCTCATTTTATGTCCGATTGGCGGAGCGCGCTAAACTACAGCCTGGGTCATTCCCGATTCCTCCGGGTCCGCTTTTTTTATTTATTTTTTTTCCCCGACTTCCCACGCGAGAGAGAGAACCCACTATCACCGACCGCCACACCAACTGTACAGATCTAATTTCGAAACCGCTGGGAAGAAGCCCCCTTGCGCATCTCTCTCTTTCCCTGTATTCCACAGTTCTCCCTTTCTTCACTATCACCGTTTTACCCCACATGACTTGGCAATTGCCGTTGGGTCTAACTCGGGGGTATGGTTGACCATTTTGTTTTTTCGGGTTTCCGTGGAGAATTGCCATTTTGGTAAAAAACAGAAGGGCTTACTCCGGGCGCCACTCAACCACCAAAATTACACGGAATTTCACCTTATCCCCAATTTAGTATCTCCGTCGCGTGTTCGTGTGGCTCCAGACTCGAATGTTGTTGCAGATGAAAACGATAGTCTCCTCCCCCCCTCCCCACTCTGTCTTCATTCGGTGATATAAAAGGGAGAAATGAAAACTGCTGCCGTCGAACTCTTACCCCCCGGGTATCTCCCAGGGGTACGTAATTCTAGCTATTTGAATTGGATGATACTCTATATGCCGAGTAATTTGAATATTTTTCCAATCCCCACGGTAACCGGCATATTTTTTCATCATTTTTTTATCGAATAAAAAATACATTTTTCATGGATGAAAAAAAAAGTCGAGATAGCTTCCTTCGAAAATTCACCAAAAAAGTCGTTTGGCAACACGAGACGGTTTCCAGGGTATATATACCCTCATACATTCTTCTCACGTGTTGGGCGTTTGCGCGAGAACTGGGTGCAAAGTTTATCGGGTCGGGTCAACCGAATATATTTGCGCATCAGCGAGACATCTCGGCGCGCGAGCTAGAGTAATAGAGGGAGAATCGTGATCCCAACACGAGAATGTGAAATTGTTTTGCAATGTTTGTTTTGCAAAACTTCTCCCCCTCCGGCGATCCCTTGGGGGTCAAATTTGTTGGAGAAAAGCCGATCGATACATTTGAGCGTGACTCACACGTTAATCAAAGTTCGGCCCTCGCGGGACCCGCGGCGTGACGTACAGCTCGTCGATAAGCCACCTCTCTTTCCAAACGCCTTTTGCAATAGAGAAAAAAACAATCCCACTGCCATTCGATGAAATCAAAACCGATCCAGCAGTCATCAAACGAGAGTATGAAGAATGCCGCCCTTTCATCGTCACGATAAATCCCCAACTGGCTTGAGGCCCGATTATCATGAAATTATCTCTGTTGCCAAGATAATTGCCGAGTCACTCCCCAATGCGAATGCGTGGTAGAAGTCATCGGACTCTTCCAGTCTGTGCTATTACGTTTTTTTTTCTTTTTTTATTTTCCTCGTACCTTTTCACTCGCATTCGTTTTTCTCTCTCATCCCCCAACCTCAATCATGATCTATCTACACCTCCCCTTGAGTTTTTCTCTTCACGGCACTTCCCTCCTCCTCTCTAGCCCCCTCACCCTCGCCGCCCCCCCCCCTCTCCCGTTCCTCCCGCCACCTCCTCATCACGATCATTGACCTTTGCCTGGCCAGACGCAGGTGCCGCTTGTTGTATATACTGCAAGTGTATACAGAAACACCGGTTGTGCGCCTTCGCGGAACAATATTCGGGGTGTGGCGCGACCTTCATAGACAATAAAGGTCACGCGCCACGGGCCACGTGAAAAACTATTTGCTGGAGGAGAAAAAGAGGAAAGAATTTGCAGAAAGTGGATCTGGATATCATTGACACTGCTGGAATCCACGGCTGACGGATTCTACGCGGCGGGGAGGAGAGGGGGAGGGGTGGATATTTACATCTAGTTCTTTGATGTTCATTTTCCAGGTTGAAAGTTTTTTTTTT